CTGGAGAGGTGGGATAGAGGAGTGCTCTTTGGGGTGCTGGTTGGTGTGCTCTGGGGAGCTCTCTCAGGGTCTTGCCTGGGGGCATGTGCGTGGGGAGGGTTGGGTCTTGGGAAGCCTTGACAACACCAGGACTCCATCTCTGGCCTTGAGGCCACAAGCTCAAATGGTTTTGCCTGTGGTGGCAGGCAGTGGGTGTCAGGGTGCTAGACTCCCCGGTCAGTCTGGGCCCACACTCCTCCCCTTGAGTACAGTCAGGTCTGAGTGGGCTCCTCGGAGCCACCTTCTTCTGGAGTCTCTATGTGAGGGACTTCGGGGGCTCACCACGTGGGCCCTTTGGCCAGCTCCTTGGAACCAGAGCCAGCTTGTTGGTGCTCGCTCCTTAAGGCCTTATTCCCAAGCGAGACAGCGTCACATCTTTCCACCTCGATCAGTGGGGTTGCTCTTGGTTTTGCTTTGACAGTGGATTTGTTGTGAATTGCAACATGAAATTCAGCCAAGGTGAGACTGATGAGGAGGGTTTGGGATCAAAGTGCTGCCACTGCTCCTTTTACAGTGAGTAGCTCCAAAGGACCAGCACTCCCTTGCCCCGTCTCTCCCAAGTATGCACCATCTTAGGAAACGAACTGTAAAAGGGGCAGAGTAGACTTTGTGGGCTATCTTTGGAATGTCCCCTGTTCCTCTCTGATCGTGTAGGTGTGCGGCTCCAGGACAGTCCATCCCCACCCATCGGGAGCTGTCTTCTATCATCCTTAGATCTCTGTGCTCTGGGGATAGCCACGGCCCTGGCACTGCTGGCCCTTCGCTAAGCTCCCACATTTTGTGTTAGGGAGCAAGGATTTTCACAGGCTCATAGAGCATTTTCTTCCTTGCTAGGGTCGAGGACACTAGAAATCATCTTCTCCTGTTCCCTGTTTTTACAGATGTTGCCATCAGGACCCCAAGAAGAAACGTAGCCTGCCGGTGTCACTGAGGAACTTAATTCCCAAGCAGGTGTCCGGCGCCTGGGTCCTGCTCAGACCCCAGTCTCTCCTCTGGTTCTCCATGGCCCTCACCTCCCATTTCTTTCCATGTCCCAGCAGGTTCTGGTTGAACTTATGGCTTTTTTTGCTTTAATTGACTATGAATTTATGTCCCCTGAAAAAGAGATTAAGTTGCATCATTTCTTCTTATCAGGCAGTGCTCAGAAACAACATAGCAATTTATAAAGACTTTAGGGTTAGTGCAGGGAAGACTGGGAAACAGGTACTGATTAAAGGTAAGTGGGGAGCAGACCCCTCCTCCCACCCAGGCTCACAGAGGCTGGCTGGGTTCTGTCTGGGTTCTGTCTGGGTCTAATCTGGGTTCCATCTGGGTCTAATCTGGGTTCTGTTTGGGTCTGATCTGGGCTCTGTCTGGGTCTGGTCTGGATTCTCTCAGAGTCTGGTCTGGGTTCTTTCTGGGTTCTGTTGTTCTGGTTTGGGTTCTGTGTGGGCCTGGTCTGGGTTCTGTCTAGGTCTGGTCTGGTTCCATCTAGGCCTGGTCTGGGTTCTGGCTGGGTCTGGTCTGGGCTCTGGCTGGATTTTCTCTGGATCAGATCTGAGTTCTGTCTGGGTCTGGTCTGGGTTCCGTCTGGATCTGGTCTGGGTTCCGTCTGGGCCTGGTCTGGGTTCC